AAAATCCCTGCAAAGCTGTTTTGAGTGATTTACCTTTATCTTATGAAGTAGCTTTGTTATCCTGAAGACAGTGGGTGACGGTGCCCCCATTCATAGGGCACAAAGGGTGACTAAATAGTTTTATGTGACTCATATGCTTTGGCCTTTGCAGTCCCCTGATCTTAACCCTGATCTTGTTTTGTAATATTTCTGTTGAACCACAATTCAAAAGCAATGTCATGGTGTTCACTAAATTTTTATTGATTGTTCCTTTTGTCAAATTCAACTTATTTCAGTGAGGGTTAGGGTTAGTGAGAGCTGTTTTTTTCCTTCTTTAATGGGAGGGTATGAATACATTTCAGGACGACTGTAGAACATGAGATGGATGATACGTGGAACAGCACCCTCCACAGAATGGCGTTCAATCTGTCCAGTAGAACTGGATGTGTAAAATCAATGCCAAGATACATTTAAGCTATTCTGGAGGCCCAACACCTTTCAAAGATGCTTTGTGTTGACTTTTTTTTCCTTTATTTGTCACTCATCTCTACCTCTAGCTGTCAAAAAAAAATCTAGTTTTTCTCTGGAATATAGTGTAACAGAAACACAAAGTTGCATGAAAAGAGAATACTGAAGAAAAGTGCATCAGAGTTGTACAGTCCTGTAAATATACTTCCACTCTACCACGTTGGACATCAATCAATCATCAACACTGTGTCTGTGATTCAGAAACACGGGACAGCTTTGTTTGTTTGTTTTTTGAAAATTACATTATCTTTGGATTTGGAAAAAAATAAATAATAAAAATCCCATTGGAGTCTGCAGCCTCAGAGTTGGTTCACAGTAAAATCTGATTGCAAAAAATATGAAGTTGCTTTCGTTCTGATGTTTCTCAAATCTCCAATGGTGGAAGAAAGATTTTTTTCTTGAGAGGATCTGAGAGGTCAAGAGAGGAGTTTTTGAGCATTTCTCAGTTACTACACACTGCTGCAAATCCCCCTTTTCATTGTGTTAAAAAAAAAAAAAAGGACAGTTTCCCTCTTTCTAGACCAAGTACATACGAATAATAGTTAATATAAATGTACTGCATTAAGATAAAAGCATAAAAATGGAGATTTATAGCATGAACTGTCTCTCTTGCTTGTACTTTAAAGATAATAACAAACAGATGTCATGTTAATATCACCATGGTCAGTGTTTTATATTAAATTACAGGCATTATACACCAAAACATACACAAATACATAAAAAAACAAATAGAAATTT